TTAGAAAGCCATTATAGATACAGATTTGAGAGAGTGTCCTGTACACAGTAATATCCTAAAGTTCTTCAAATTTCAAATAAATGAACTAGAAACTTTATCTGAAAAAAATATTATTTTTAAAAATCCTAACTCATTTTATGACTTCAGTCATGTTTTAACGATTTTAGTCACTGGAAAAGCTTAGGCAAAAACAATGTCAACTTTATCTCTGATGGTGTATTAAAAAACAAAATAAAATATGCACAGAAACAAACAACTGAGAAATATAATACAGTTCTATAACCAAAATAAGGAAGTCTTTTTCCTTTGAGTTATAGAATTAGCCACTTACTGACCTGTATTGCCAACTGATCTAACATCACTATTTCTAACTTTCCCCTTGCAGCCCTGGGCTTGAGATGATACTCTAATGTCGAGGCTGACAGTGGGGTTGGGACAAGAGTTGCTACCGTCTTGATTATCAGAGCCCTGGAGAATGAAAATGCCCAATGTGGACCTCCTTTAAGGGAATGCTTCTCTTGAAGGCAGTTATTAGCCAAGTAAAGAATTAGATGGCATGTATGGACATGGGAAGCTTTGGAGATGAGAGATGTATCAATGATAGAAGGGTTGAAAGTTGCCTGTGAAGTGAAGCTGGAAGAGGAAATAAGATGGGCTGTTTCTTTCCAAAATGTAAAATTATAAACCAGAAGGGGATCTACAGAGTGAATCTTATACCCTTATCTTACAGATGAGTTTACAAAATCATCTCATGTTATGGCAATAAAATAAAGAAAACGAGATGATGTGAACTCAGTAAGATACAGCTATCCCTCTATCACCCAGCTTACACAATTATTAACTTGTGGCAAATCTTATTTCACCTGTACTGTCACCTCCTATCCATTCCCCTACATTGTTTTAAAGTAAGTCTCCAATATACAATCACTGTAGCCATAAATATTTCAGTACATATATCCAAAATACAAAAACTCTTAAAACCCCATAACACTATTACCACACCTAAAATAATTAACAATTTAATAATTAAAGTAATTAATTCACAATTTATGATATTAAATAACAGTAATTTATTTTCTTCTGCAGATTTATTGAGGTATGACTAACAAATAAATTGTATATATTTTAGGTGTACAACATGATCTTTTGATACATGTATTTGTTAGGAAATAACTACTACACAATTTGATATCCAGTCACTGTTGTATAAAATTATCATCCATCTCCCAGGCTCAAGTGATCCTCCCACCTCAGCATCCCAAGCATATGCCACCATGCCCAGCTAATTTTTCTGTACTTTTTGTAAAGATGGGCTTTTGCCATGTTGCCCAGGCTGGTCTTGAATGCTTAGGTTCAAGCGATCTACCTGCCTTGGCCTCCTAAATGGGATTACAGGCGTGAGCCACTGTGTCTGGCATAAAAAGTTGTGTTTTATAGTTTTCTTGTTCAAATCTTAATCTTAAGGGCCAAGCACTGCAATTGTGTCTCTGAAGTCTTATTTTAATCTATGGATTTTCACAGCTTGTAATTTATGTGTTGTTAATTTATTTTTAAAGGAGGGATTATATTCGCCACAGGCCAAAGAAAGTGAAACAGAAGTCTAAAATTATGCAACTTTGTGCTACATTTTTCATCTTCACATTCTTGTACAATTATCCTCATACAAATAGATTCCAAATCTGTGAATAACACTCAACTGGTTTTATGTGATAGTTGATACTTGCGATGCACAAAACTTATGCTGCCCATAAAACAAGGTATAAAAAGCTCTTCTAAGTGACCTAGAAAACTCGATGTGGCTGATTCTGTCTAATTTATTTATAAACTGTTTATCCAGTTTAAAAAGATCCAAAACAATATTTAGAAATTTAAGAGGCATATATTATTCATAATATTCTAAGAGTTAAACAGAACTGATCTCCAGAAGTATCTTCTTTGATACCTCTTACTTCTCAGTTCCCAAACTGCCCAAGACCTTCCACCACAGTACCTCTGAATTTTAGAATATAAGGGTAATAGAGCTTTAAAATGGATTTCTCTGAATTTACATATTTCTAGAGTAAGAGACTCTTTACTTAAGGATAATTTGGTAATATTTATTAAGAACAATTAGAAATGTCCACACTCTTGATTCTAGATTTCAATCCTGGCAATTTGTCATGTGGGCAGAAGTAATCAGAGATGACAGAAAAACTAACATTTAAAGCTCAGGTAAGCCTGAGTGTTTGTCTTTCAGTACCATATATTTTTTCTCTTTTTAGAGCAACAACAACAAAAAGAGTATAAGAAAAAAAAGAGTATAATAGTCATATATTATATGACTATTATTTTTACTTGATAATATAAAATGAACCATTCCTACCCCCTGTCAATACCTATTTCCTCTAATTCTGAACTTTTTGTTTTTTTCAAATGGCATGGCTCTTCTGGTAGTGGTGGCAAAAATGTTAAACAGATGGGGTAACCACGGATCATTTCAAATTTTACTTTTGTAAGTGAGAAACTGCCTATGACAAATTGGTACGTTATTTGCAATAAAAAAAAAAAAGAGATATGAGATCATGAAGAATTATTTTACATTTTGTGCACTCCAAATAAAATAAACTTTTGTGTTAGCACAATAAAATATTTAAGAATTGACCATTTTAGACGTCTTTTGGAGGTGTCATAGGGGATATATATCATGTGACTCTAAGGTAATAAGTTCAAAAACAAAATAAACCATGATTATTCTAAAGGTTAAAGTCTGTAATTTCTAAATACTATGAGTTATATACTATAAGGAATACTATGTTTAGGGGATCTTAGTATTGGAATTTACTTCTAACAGTAACATGTTAAGAAAAATATATAATTCTCCTTAAAAATAAACTATATATATATTGTTAAGTAATAGCCAGCCTATTTAGCAATAGGCAGACATTACCTTAGAAGTTGGTGGTCCCCCTTTGTCTCATACAACAAAATCATTTTGTCCACTGTTGATGATAAATAAGAATGGGCCCAGGCTAAACTGCAAAATATAGCTCACTTGTCTCGAATGTGCCCAAACTTCCTACTGTGCCTTTTCACATATAGTCTAAGAGGGTGAAGATAAGCTGATTCTGGGCAGTACGTGAACCAGTAAGAAAAAGCAGGCTACGTATTTGGTAGTAGCTCCTTACCAGGAGGTAGAATGAGAGGGACTGAAAATAATTTCTAAAAGGGATAATGAGGCCAGGCACAGTGGCTCATACCTATAATCCCATCACTTTGAGAGGCTGAGGTGGGAGGATCACTTGAGCCTAGGAGTTCAAGACCAGCCTGGATGACACAGAGAAACCCCATCTCTACAAAATATACAAAGATTAGCCAAGAGTGGTGGTGCGTGACTGCAGTCCCAGCTAGCACCACTGCACTCCAGCCTGGGCAAGAGAGTGAGACACTGTCTCAGAAAAAATGAACTTACTAAACCACAAATAAAGATAATGCATATAAAATACCAAGGTAAACATTATAAGAAAGATAAAAAGTGTGGAAGAAAGAAAAGATCTTATTTTTTCTGAATACAGGTAAATAAACAATATTCAGATCTGAATAACCGATTCTTTTGATTTGGCCTTTAAAATCCTTCTCAATGCAAACTGAGTTTCTATGGTAAAATATTATCTCAGATTGGCTTAAAATATTCCAATAAAAGCAAATAAACACTAATGGGATAGATGAAACAAGAATGGATATTGACTTTATTGAAGGATTCAGGAGAGTTTGATAATGCGTATTTGAAAATTTCCAAAATTAAAAGTAAAAACATATCTTTTGAAAAGATAGCTAATGAATTAATAATGACTGAAGCAGAATATGTATATATTAGAATAGAAAAATCACAGAAACAAAAGTCATTTAAAAGTCTCCTATATATAAAACAAAGGACTAAATGAAATAAAATGTGAAATCAAGGTACAATTTTTTATTATCCCCAAATATAAATTCTATTTACAATATTTTGGGCCGGGCGCGGTGGCTCATGCCTGTAATCCCAGCACTTTGGGAGGCTGAGGCGGGCGGATCACGAGGTCAAGAGATCAAGACCATCCTGGCCAACATGATGAAACCCCATCTCTACTAAAAAAATACAAAACTCAGCTGGGCGTGGTGGGGTCTTGTAGTCCCAGCTACTTGGGAAGCTGAGGCAGGAGAATTGCTTGAACCCGGGAGGTGGAGGTTGCAGTGAGCCGAGATGGTGCCACCGCACCCCAGCCTGGTGCCTGGCAACAGAGCAAGACTCTGTCTCAAGAAGAAAAAAAAAAAAAATAAAAATAAAAAAAAATATATATATATATATGTATTTTGTTTAGTCCAATTTACATAGGACTTTATTAAATTCATTAGCTTATTAATATTCTCTGACTATATGTTAAAAAAAATGTTAGTCATTATGTAGTTCACTATTCTAATTAGGCTACTTTCAACAACCTGATGGTAAGGAAAAATCAAAATGTAAGTAAAGTCCAAATCCAAATGAGCAAATTTTTTAAAAAAGTATAAAATTACAGAGCTCTGAGCTACACAAATAAAAATACCCTCAGAGTCTTAAATATACTAATAAAGAACTCCTTGATTTGTAACACAGGAACAGAAAACTAAATACTGCATGGGAGCGAAAAAATAAGAACACATGGACACAGGAACGAACAACACACACCAGGGCCTTTGGGGTAGAGGGGAAGGCGGGAGCAGGGAGAACATTAGGGAAGAGAGCTAACGCATGCTGGGCTTAATATCTAGGTGATGGGTTGATCTGTGTAGTAAACCACCATGATACATGCTTACCTATGTAACAAACCTGTACAACCTGTACATGTACCCCGGAACTAAAAAAAAAAAAAAAAAAAAGGACTCCTTGAGTTTGATTCCTATTTATTACTTGAATAAATTCAGAAGTTGCTTTACCTGAGGAGTTAGCCTGTCAGCATTTATGTTTAAAAGTTACGAGTATGTCTTCTAATAAGTATACTTACTTGCTGTTTCAAAACCAGGTTCTTCACTCCTTCCATCACAAACTGTGATCCTGTATTCATGACTCGTGATAAGAGACTAGATGGGGGCAAAAAAGAAGGACCATACTAAGTACAAACTGCCTCTCCAATATGTTACAGATAAAATATTTGCCTGATTACACACCACATGCTGATGCTCGCTGTACCTACCACCTTTGTTTTCACTAAACAGAAGGGTCTTGAGAATTTCTGCTGCCATGGGTACCACTGCTGCAATTTTATTTAACAATAAAATAGTAATAAAATACTCTGATTAGTCAATAATGCTTAAAAAATATAAAAATAAAAAGCTGCCCTCAAAATAAACATCTTAATTTCCTAGTCTCAGCTATAGTTTTTTTTTTTTGCAAGTTATAATTTGAAGAGAATTCCTTGACTTCTTGATTGTCTAATGCTAAAAAAACCAATTTAAAGATAGTAACTTGGACAACTTGCTTTACGAGTTCAAGCCACATCAACATATTAAAAATATATATGCCAATAAGTATTATGAGTAGGTCAAACATCACTGTGTTCTCTTATATTAGCAGCTGGATCCAATCCTACATTGCATATTCTCTCCCACTCTGTATACATAAAATCTATCATATAAAAATGTGAAACACAACAGACTTAGTGAATTTTGCCTCAACTCTGAAAAATGTTGTTTAAATTTTAAACAACAACAACAAAACACCAATAAGTGACTTCATACTGGGTTTGTATCTGTGGTTCAAACAGTCTCCCATATGGAATTAGAGGATGTTTTGTGGGACAGAATAGTAATCCTGCATTAAAATCCCAGAAGTCTAGGGACAGCTTTTAAATTACCCAAGATTTTCTTTTATAACACATTTATCAAAATCCCAACTGCAAAATCATAAGAAATCTAATAGCCTTTAATGTTCAATAAGATTTTTAAGGGATGAAACTGAAAAGTCTATTTTATTAAATATATGGAAGTAATTTTCCAAAAATATTTTCCTTTTCCTCATCTTGTCCTTACTCCCCTCTAAAATGAAGAGATAGACAGGATGGAAATCGTTTCATTAACAGAAGCAAGAGAAAGTAATCCTTGTTGGAATTAATGGCCCTGGGGCGATTCCTGGCACCAGGCAACTCCTCAGGGATATGCTAACCTGTGCAGCACTGTCTGAAGGTGAGGCCAGCTAGATTCCTTTTACCAAGTATTTCTAAGGCTGAGTGCTTTTGTTTTTGGAAATTGTTTCATTAAAACCAGTTGCTGCTCAGTGTGGGGCTAGGATAAACCGGTTTTCCTCTGGCTTTGTGCTTTTGTTTTAGCTCTAAAAAATAAGCTAGGAGTTGGAAACTTGTATGGTACCAAAACAGTAGTCAGAATTACCTTGTTCAGATTATTTGAAAATCACACATACTCCATTGGAGTCTCTGGAGTAAGATGTCATACCCAGCCTGAAGACTTCCTATAATTTAGCACTCCTTGAATCTATCCTGAAGCTAGGCCTAGCTTCAAGTCTATATTACTTATCAACACTGATATTAAAAGAGTTTTAACCCTCTAATGTTTTCTGAAAATGAAAAATGTATGTTATAACAACAAATAGGCATATGAACAAAAACCATTTAGAAGAAAATATTTGCAGAAAATCTGGAAAATAAAAGCACCCAAAAGAAAAGCAACTTTACCCCTTGAAATTACCCACTATTAACATTTAGTTGTATGTCATTTCAGCTATGCATTTAAATGTACGTATGCGTATACTCATCCACACAGATATACACAGATGGATAAATGGATAAATAGGGATTATACTGTAAAAAATGTCATCTAAGTTTCAGCTCATACCATGTAAAAAGATATTAACTTACATTTTAAAGTGAGAATTTGAATGTGCCCAACACTAAAAAATGATAAATGTTTGAAGTGATTCATATGCTAATTACTGATTGGCTAATTATACATGGTGTGTATTATCACACTGTACCCCATAAATATATATAATTATTACATGTCAATGAAGAATAATTCAAAAAATAGAAAAAAAATGAAGAACTTAAGCCATCTAAATGTCACCAAAGACATAGTGACATTTTCCACATTCAGAGTGTTAGACACTGTGTTTTTATGGTATGAAAGTCTAAGTAAGGTTTTGAGTACAAAGATGCAACAGAATTATTAAAAATACTTACCCCATTGATTTAGTGGTAGTGCTGCCATAGCTGGCAGGAGCTGAGGCCATCTTGGTAAAAGCCCTATGAAATAAGGAAGTTGTACTTAAAAGCTAATTATTAGAGCTAACACGGTGTCACGGTATTAAAATATCTATTGACTTCTATGATGCAGACAGTTTCTGAAAAGAGAGTTTTCAACAAATATAACTGCAGTATAATTAGTACTAAAACACTGAAATGATTAATATTATTTTTTGAGACAAGATCTCACTCTGTCACCCAGGCTGTAATGCAGTGGTGCCATCATGGCTCACTGCAGCCTTGACCTCTCAGGCTCAAGTGGTCCTTCCACCTTAGCCTCTCAAAGTGCTGGGATTACAGGTGTGAACCACTGTGCCCAGCCGTAAATTCTTAAAAAAGCACAAATGCATTAGGTTTCCAAACTTCTATTTTCCTTCTTTTCTATCTGATCATTAAAAAAAAAAAAAAAAAGGAACTGACATAGAGACTTGATGACTTAAAAGAACAAACACGTAATAATTTAGTCTTTTTATTTTTCCTTACATTCTATGCTCCCTTGTTTCCAGATACATGCCTTTGCTCATGCTGTCCTTTAGTGAGTATAAATTCACTACCTTCTTCAATAGAAACAGTACATTTCCGTTTAAGACTAAGTTCAAAACCACTTTCTTTGTTAAAGAAAACTCTACCACTCAATGATTTTTCCCTTTAGTTACATTCTATACCACAGATTTTTATACTTAATTGCACATAGTTGTTTATTTTCAACTCTTTCTAAATGTCCAGAATCTCTGTATCTAAACAATACTATTGATGAAGGGTGGGCAAAAAGATGGCATTCAGATGTGCCTTAAAAAGTATTTTCTGAGAATATTTTCATTGTACAGAATCCAGAAAACATAAAATGCTCAGAAGAATCCTACCACTTTAAGGTAACCCCTGTTAAGATGTTGGTGTATAGTTTTGTAATCTTAGGACACATATCTATTTAATATATATGATTTATAAACCAAAATTAGCATCATATTGTATATACTGTTTTAGAAAACATGTTAGTGGCACACCATAAACATTTTATGCCAATGAATATTCATAATGATTCTTATTTTAAATGTGTTTTAACATTTAAAATAAGAAGTACCTAAAGAAAAAAAGAATACCTAAAGAAAATTTTATAAGGGAAAAAACGTAAATCATTAAGATGTGGTAGTAGAAATGCTAAAAATGTTCAATTTCAATCTTGACAAAATCTGCCAACAATACCCGTAGAGAAATCCCAAACAAAAATTTCAGTCTTGTTCAGAAAGGAGGATGTGAATCAGCAGTGGATTAGAATTTCTGCATTAACAACAACGAAAAAAGTTTTTCACTAGAAAAAATATCTAAAGAACAAAGAAGCGTTAAATAAATAACAATACATTTATATAGTTTAATACCATGCAAACAGTAAATACTTCCACAAACTGGCATGATGAAAGTTATTAAGAACTAGAATACAAAACTCTAAAAATGATTTCCCCATTTTAAGAAATATCTGGCCAGATGCAGTGGTGCACACCTGTATTCCTAGCTACTAAAGAGGCTGAAGTGGAAGGATCATGAGCCCAGGAGTGTGAGGTTACAGTGAGCAATGGTTCTATCACTACACTGCAGCCTAGGTGGCAGAGCAAGATCTCTAGAAAAAAAATCTGTCATATGCATAGAGAATGAAAGGATATACGCTAATGTTTACTTGTAGTGCAGGACGGTGAGAATATAGGTAAATTTTTATTTTCTTTATACCATTCTGAGTTTTCTAAAATTTTCATCAATAAACCACTATGATTTATAATTGGAAAAAAAACACATTACAAATTAGAGATAAAATATTTCGAAAAATAATGCCCAAGACTGCCTTTCTCCATATATCTCTAAGCAGTAATTATGGAGCTCCAAGTAAATCATAATATAAAAAGAATAATGAACATATGCCACATGGCAATGTGTGTAACTGTACATATAGGCTGAGCATCCCTAATCTGAAAAATCTGAAATGCTCCAAAATACGAGACTTTCTGAATGCTGCCATGATACCACAAGTAGAAAATTCCACACCTGATCTTGTGTCAGGCTGCAATCCAAATGCACAAATTAAGAAAATTGATAAAATTATCTTTGGGCTATGTTACATAACATGCATATGAGACATTAACCAATTTTTGATTTAGACTTGGGTCCCCATACCCAAGATACCTCATTATATATATGCAAATATTCCAAAATCTTAAAAAAATCCAAAATCCAAAACACTTCTGGTTGCTAACATTTCGGATAAGGGGGACTCAACCTGTATTATAAAAATTCGGAAAGTTTTCAGTTTTCCTTTTAAACAAAGATTTGTGTATTTTTTTTTTCTTATTATAAGAACACAAAAGTTAAGTCTGAAAAGTCAAAAGTATAGGTAATAAAAAGCACTCATAATCTCACCACTCGAGATAACTACTGTTAACAATTTGGTATAATTCTCTTGCTATGCTTATTTTTTGACATACTTGAGATCAGAAAGCATATTTAATCTTTTAGTCTTTAAAAATATTTTAAAAACGATTTTAAGGATAATAGTTTTTGTAGAAAATTCAGAAGATAAAGAAAAGCACCCAAAAGGAAAAAAATTCTACCACTTGGAGTTATCTCCTATTAACATTTAGTTATATGCCATTTCAACTCTGTAATTAAATATTTGTATGTGTATGCTTATATGAATCCATACATATGAATGAATAAATGGATAAATAGGGATCATACTGTAAAAAATGTCATTTAAGTTTTGGCTCAAATGCGACTACCTAGATGCTCTCCCTGATCTCCTAAGCCAATTTAGCCATCACATCCAGCAGGTTAAAATCTTATCACTTAGTTTTATTTATGTCTTTTAACATGGTTTAACATTATTCTGTTCATTTATTTGCTTATTTGTTAATTGTTTTGTCAACACAAATGTAAATTCATTGGCAGGTTGGGCTTTGTTTATCATGCTCACTATTAGGAAATATTTATCAAACAAATTCAATGAAGATTGTTGTAAATTATTATATTTTTTACTTTACAGTATAACATGAACATTTACCAATGTCATTAAGTAAGCCTTCTGATTTTTAATGACTCAACTGTATTTATGTTGCAGAAATACCACAATTCACTTACTAATAGTACTGCTAGACATTTAGGTTGCTTTTAAAAATTTCATTATTACAGCTGTGTCTAAAATCTTAGCACTCCAATTGCACCTTTGGGATAAATCCTTAAGAGAAGTACTAGGTCAGAGCTATTTTTAAAGAACTCTTTATACCATCCAGAAAAAAAAATTGTGACAATTTATATTCCTAATAGCAGAGTATGAAATGCACAAATTAATTTTCCTGTATCTTTGGCATGGTATTTTCGAAATGTTTGCAATATGTTAATCTGCATTTCTTTAATTACTAGTTAAATTAAAATTTCCTCTTACTGCTTTGGAGACATTTGACTCCAGGCATTTCAGTCCTTGACTTTCTCACCTTTATCAGTAAAGAAACTCTAAAGCTTGCCCAGGAAAGAAGGGCATCACTGTTTTATGTAATTTTAAGTTGTAAACAGGGTGGTCCAGATAAGGAAATATTTATGCCACTGGATATATAAAACCACCAAGGCACTGGTCCAATTTTCTTATTAGCATTCCCATTTTCTTGGGAAAGAAGCCTCAATTGTACTCTTTAAATGACAGGAATTAAAGAAGAAAATAAAACTTACTTCCACTGTTTGATATACTGTAAAGGATTAAGGTTGCATCCTGCATCAGTTAAAGCTTTTTTATATTGCTCCAAATCAGCCTGAAATAAGAAAAGAACTATATGACAAAAATTTTTACTTTCATGAAAGATGTTATTTGTTGCCATTTGATTAATTAAAAAGTAAGACCAAAGGCACAAGTTTAAATTCTTGGTACCCAAGTAGAGTGATGTCTTAAATGAGTACCCAAGTGAGCACCTAAGACAAAAAAATCACATATAATGAAAATTACCTTTAAGAGGCTCCCAAATCACCTATTAAAGTACATTATTTTTAATCTCTCAGTAATTCCAACAAAGTTATTTTTTCCTTTACTGCTAGAATAGACTGCTTTTCCTCGGGACATGCACTAAATGAATGATTTGGTTTGACCAAGAATATTTCTAAACCAGAAACACAAGGGGAATGATACCAACTGAGGGCAGATTTGGGTTTTTCATCTCATTTTCATTCTAGGGTCCAGATTCATTAACTGGACAACAGGTGTCCTGAACTTTTAAAATTGTTGCTTTTTTTTTTTTTTTTTTTCCCTCTTCCTTTTTTTTTATTTCCTGGTAAGTCTAGCTGAATTTGTGTAACTTAAAGGAGCCTATCTTAATGATCACTTAAATTTATGAAAAGACATAAGCCTTACCAAAAGTAAATAAAAATAATGTGATTCGGTGAATAGTAAATTAAGTTTTAAAAATCACATATTCTTAAGAAAAATACTTTAATTACGCTACTAGAACCCCTGAGATATAAAGGTGAACCCCTGAAAACACCTGTTGATAGAGAATTTTTTTTTTTTTTGAGATGGAGTTTCATTCTTGTCATCCATCCTGGAGTGCAGTGGCGTGATCTGGGCTCACCGCAACCTCTGCCTCCCTGGTTGCCTAAGCATCCCGAGTTGCTGGGATTACAGGTGTGCACCACCACACCCGGCTAATTTTTGTATTTTTAGTAGAGATGGGGTTTCACCATGTTGGTCAGGCTGGTCTCAAACGCCTGACCTCAGGTGATCATCTCACCTTGGCCTGAAAGAGATATTTCTTAAAAAAAAAACCAAAAAACAAAAAAAACACACTCAACACTTTCTTACAAAATTAGAAGTGAAGATCTGTGTTCCCAAGTTAAAGTGGAATGGCCGAGAACAAATACTTGGTTTAGTTTTAATATGGTGAAGATTTTTGACCAACAGAAACCTATCAATTTACCAGATATTAAAAACAATAATTGCTACCAGTAAAGAATGGAGCATAGAACAGACAGCCACATTCTAAATGTCATCTTGAGGTTCCTATGCTTCCTGTTCATCCAGTAAAACTATACAAAGTTAACATTAGAGTCAACGGTCTCTAACCCAGCAAGAAGTCTGATACCAAAATCACTACTTTCTTTTATAGAATAGACAATGTATTTTCTATTTTTATTTATTTATTTATTTAATTTATTTTTATAACAGAGGAAAGCATGAACGCAGTCCCCCACTACCATAAATTATGCAGTCGAGTTTCCCACGTTTGGGGAAATCGCAGGGGTCGGCACATCCGGAGTGCAATGGATAAGCGTTGCCCTGGGAAAACCCCCTTCGCGATCATGGTATCTCCCCTGCCAGGTAAGTACTGACAATGTATTTTCTATATAGGACATTCATTTTAAAACAATTTTAAAATAAGATCAACCTTTCAAAAGGCATAACAAATCTGATAAACTTAGTGTAGAATAGTTATTTTCCAAAAATAAGAAGTTGGGCCACTTGAATTCAGTTCACATTCCAACAACTTAAAAGTAGTCAGATGTTTCACAGGTAGTTTCCCCTGGTAACAATAAAAGTTGCTATAAAATACAGCAGTACATAGAAGCAATCTTAACAAATTATTTTTCTTTCATTTATTTTATTTTATTTGAGATGGGGTGTTGCTCTGGTGCCCAGGTTGGAGTGCAGTGGTGCAATTTTGGCTTACTGCAACCTCTGCCTCCCGGGTTCAAGCGATTCTCCTGCCTCAGCCTCCCCAGTAGCTGAGATTACAGGCACACGCCACCACGCTTGGCTAATTTTTGTATTTTTAGTAGAGATGGGTTTCACCATGTTGCCCAGACTATTCTCAAACTCCTGAGCTCAAAGTGATGTGCCTGCTTCAGTCTCCCAAAATACTGGGATTACAGGCGTGCGCCACCAAGCCTGGCTGTTTTTCTTTTAAAGAAAAGAATGAAGTAAATATTTAGCTACAGTGATTTTTACTTCTATTTTTAAAATTTGAATTCTAGTAGTCTATAAACAAGTATTCCATTTCCTCCCAATAACTGAATAAAGGACATACCTCAGAGGGTGCTTGCTGTGTGCTTATATAATAGATAAGAAACAACCTCATTTTATCTTCTGGAGTTCCTGCTGCATAGGGGAAAAGAGGTTACAAAAGATTTTCATAATTGTGGTTATTATGTATTATAGTAACACAAGTATGTTACATTTCAAGGGATATATAAATGTGACAAAACAAAACATGGCTCTTGACTTAACTGAGTTAAGGTAACAGGCACTATAATTACAACCATGTAAAATACAGATATGGAAAAGATTAAATGAGGTGGGATTAGAAGATTACCATTCTTTGTGTATGATTATGGGAGCCTCTCTATTGTATCTTCCAAACTGTGTATAATGTTAGGATTTCCCTTTTAGATGTAAACTCACAATGAAAAGAAAGGATATAAGAAGGGAAACCATATAATTCTAAAACAGGAAACTTTTGAGGTGGCAAAAGGGGTGCCAGTAACAATTACATAACGAACTGGTATGAAAGTGGGACTATCCTGGGTAACCAGATGTATGGTCACCCTAGGAATTGGGTTATTAAACTTTTCTGGCTAAACAAAATCATCTAGCTGAGCCTAAAGCTATACTTCTCAAACTGGGGGCCCCTAAATAAACATGTTTCTGAAGGCTTTTATATTACTATAAGGATGGGAAAACCATATATTTTTATTTAAAAAGTATTGTTATATGATGTAGAATATATTTGCCTCAAATTTTAAGACAAAACATAAGATTTCAAAGAAATTTCTTCCTTGCAGTGCTCTGAGTTACTACTCTTATTATCCAAGGCCCAAGTCCAGAGAGACTCATTTACTGTCTGTTCTATCATGTGCGCTTTGGTGGAAATGTGATAAAGCACTGGTGTCAACAAATAACAATATTCAGTCTCACTTCAAAGTGTATCCTAAGATGCAAGAACTCAGAACTGTCGTATTTCATTATAGGATAAAAACTAGTTGATTTTTTTTCAAAATATGATGACTGATAGGACATTGATTTTTTATGATTTGTGACACTAAAACTCATTTTCAAATTATCCTTACTCCCTGAATATGACAAAGAATGGTAAAATAAAGATCAATGGTAAGTTCTCTAAAGTTCTAATATTTACAAATAAATACTGTATCTGGGGCATTTTGAGTATTAGGTTATGAGACTCCTGGTCCTGTTAAATCCTAGGACAATGCTGATATTTTTGTTTTAGCAGGTAATTAGCCTGAAGGAGTACAGGCTAATGTTCCTACCAGTCTTCCGTGGTTATTCTTCCATCATTAATTCTATTTTCTTTTTTTTTTTTTTTTTTTTTTTGGTTTTTTTCTTTTTTCCCAGGCTGGAGTGCAATGGCGCGATCTCCGCTCACCGCAACCTTCGCCTCCTAGGTTCAGGCAATTCTCCTGTCTCAGCCTCCTAAGTAGCTGGGATTACAGGCAAGCACCACCATGCCCAGCTAATTTTTTGTATTTTTAGTAGAGACGGGGTTTCACCATGTTGACCAGGATGGTCTCGATCTCTTGACCTCGTGATCCACCCGCCTCGGCCTCCCAAAGTGCTGGGATTACAGGCTTGAGCCACCGCGCCCGGCTAATTCTATTTTCAAAACCTTTTGCAGTGCTACTGGATCTGTCCCACTAACCAGTGGTCAATCTGGGGACTAGAAGGTAGTCTTCTAGCCCTTCACCTCTCAGTTTTTGAAATGCTGTTTAGGATCAGCTTCATACATGTGCAGTTCAGGGGTAAACCCAGGAATTCATGACCAACTTTACAAGGCTGCTTTCCTGAGCTCCTTCCTCTCCACAATCTCCCTGGTACTTTCCCATTTCCTTGGCTTTCTCTTTTTGGTGTTGCAGATAGAAAGCCTTGGCTTTGGTTATCCTGCTTCACTGGGCACTTCCTGCCATAACTGCTGCAACTATGACCAACCAGCTAGAGGACACGGAGAGAAAGAGTAATGAGGCTTGTCCTACCCTCTTGGGACCATGGATCCTAATATACAAGGGGAAGGTTCCCCACCCTCAGAGTTTTAGGGGCCTGTGGGTCCCTGAGGTTGCTCTTAGTATCTTCAGCAACTAGCCTTACTTAGTTTGCTTAAAGAAGGAACAGTTCCCACTCTTCTTCAAGGGGAAACATACGTTAAAACTGCTACAGTGTTAATAACTGCCTTAGAACATCTGTTTAGGTTTTAAAGACCAATCTGATGGTAAGGGCTGGGGTGCATACTGATGCTTATAATGACAACCACAGGGAAATCAAACTGAAATTGTTAGCATGTGTCCTTTACACCTGTGATTATTCTAAAGCCTGTAGCTACAGCCTGGAACCTCTTATCACACTTACCTCTCTCCTTTGACTGCTATTTTAAAGTCAGAATTCCCTCACTGATTAATATGATGTATTTTAGAGAAAAGTTTTGAAAGCCTGGAGTTTGGGGAGCTTTTGTTCTCCCTGAAATTTTGAGAGTAAGATGCTGACCTGCTGTCCTATCACCCCTGATGTCAAAGACATTCTCTAACACAGCCTCAGAACAATTAGCAAAATCACATCATTGTAATGTGTCAACGTTAGTATCAGATTTTGCTAATTGTTACCATTTAATCCTCAGATCCTATTTCAAGTTTTATCAATTATGTCTCGAGTATGTTTTATGGAAAAAGGATCAATTTCAGAATCATGTGCCACACACAGTGTCATGCCTCTTTAGTCTTCTTCTGTATGAAGCAGTTTCTCCGTTTTTCCCTTGACTTGCATGGCCTTGGTTTTTTAAGACTATAGGCTGGTTTCTTCCTCGAATATCACACAATTAAGTTTTGTCTAATACTTCCTCATGATTAGATTTACAGTATACCAAGACAAGACTATCACAACAGTGATGCTGTGTTCTTTGCATTGAATCCTACTAGCCCTTTACCTCTCAGTCTTTCCTGAGCTCCTCCCTCTCCCCAATCTGCCTAGTACTATTTCCCACTATTTTATGTCTCTCGACTGACGACGTTTACTGTGATTACCTAATAAGATATTTATCAGGTTACTTTTTCTCCCTTACAGTTAAGTATTTTGTGGGAAGGTATTCTGAAACTGCATTAATATCCTATGAAATTTCAATTTATTCATTTATTATGTCCACATGGACTCTTAGCATCCTCTTTTATCAGTGGGCTATAATCTGTTATTATTTATTTTGATGCTGAAATTGTCATTATCTGGAGCCTCTTCAAGTTGACTTCTGGGTTCTTTTGACATGTTCCATCATTTTTGGAGTGCCTTCCTTGCCTTCTGATACAACAAAAATGTTCCAGACCCGTTTTGTACTTTTGCTCCCTGCCCGCCTCTAGAATCAGCTACCTCTCTAAGGAGTCATAGCGGAAATTATATTTATAAGCAGAAATCTTTACTAGTTGGGTACTGCTGCTCCCAGTCCTTTTCAGTTGGCAGAAGTAGGGAATATATGAGTACACACACACACACACACACACACACACACACACACACACTACATACAATCTATATTTCTATATCTGAACAAATATATAGTGAAAACACTCAGTTCACACCAATACCTCTAATTCCAATCCAACACTACAGGGTTCATTCTAATTTCTTCCCCTTCTACATTTATAAATTCCTTCTCTGACAATGGGAAATTGGGCTTTCTTTATATTATCCAATATATTTAATGGCCAGGTGCGGTGGTTCACGCCTGTAATCCCAGCACTTTTGGAGGCCGAGGCAGGCAGATCATGAGGTCAGGAGTTCAAGATCAGGCTGGCTAACGTGGGGAAACCCCATCTCTACTAAAAATACAAAAAATCAGCCGAGCACGGTGGCACGCGCCTGTAATCCCAGCTACTCAGGAGGCTGAGGCAGGAGAATTGCTTGAATCCAGGAGGTGGAGGTTGTGATGAGCAGAGGTCGTGCCATTGCACTCCAGCCTGGGCAACAGAGCAAGACCCTGTCTCAAATATATATATGTATCTCCCCTGAATATAACAAATATCCCATCTCTGCTTCCATCCCCTTGCAGCATGGATGCCCTTTTTACTTCATTTGAGCTCTGATTTCCTGCAATGGACCCATACATATACGTAGACATATTTCTCATCCCACCTAGGCCCAAGCTGGGTTGTTCCTGGGTGGGGTCACCCTCCTCAATCTGTTAGGGCTCTCACACACCTTGCTAAACTGCTTCCACATGTAGATGCTCTGCTTTCCTCTCCTGAACTTTGACATATAATGCTAGATTACTAATCTTCTCTTTATTCCAAGAGTGGATGCCCTTAGTCATTTTGCTCAGGTTCCAACATCTTATTCTGGACCAAAGTACCAGTAGACTGCTACTTTGCATGAATGCCTACCTTGCTCTACCCTGGTTAGTGTCGGAATAAATCATTTGAGAAAGAGGAAAGGAAAAAGCAGGACTGACTCCCTTTTTGTCAACATGCTTTTTTTTGTTTCAACTTTACTCAAAAGTTACTGTAAATAACAAGGAATAGCTCAGAAATGATGAACTTATATGACTTTGAATTTCTTTCACTATAAAATGCATATACCTTTAAAATGCTATGTTCTCACCACAGATCTAGCTTTCTAAAAGTGTGAGCAATACTTATGGTTTCTGAGATGTTTTTATAAATAGAATCTTAATTATAAAACAGCTTGGACTTTTAAATTATTTTCTAATTTAAAATACAGTCTAAAATTCATAACAAAACAATAATCCAAAAACCATCATCATGCAGCTTGAATAGCTTATATGCAAAATGGTTCCTAGGCTTTCCATTTGTTGTGGAAAAAGCTGAGATTCGAATTCAAAACTATTCTGAAGTGATCTACAGGTCTCTAAAGTTTAGGGAATTTCAGAGGCTAAGACTCTATGTAGATCCCACAGTCTTTACAATTAAGAGACACAATTGGTTTACATTAAATTTTTTTTTACTGTTTTTCCCTGTGGGGTTTTTTTTTTTTTTTTGTTTTTTTGCTGTGTTTCGCTCTTGTTTTTTTTGTCTTTAGACAAGGTCTTGCTCTGTCACCCAGGCTGGAGTGCAGTTGTGTGATCATAGCTTACTGCAACCCCGTACTCCTAGGCTCAAGGCATCCTCCCATCTTAGCCTCCTATGTAGCTGGGCCTACAGATGCATGCCACCCTGCCTGGCTAATTTTTTTCTTTCTTTTTCTTTTGTATTTTGGTGTATATGGGGTATTGCTTTATTGTCTAGGCTGGTCTCAAACTCCTGGGCTCAAGAGATCCTACTGCTTCAAGCTCCCAAAGTACTGGGATTACAAGCATGAGCCACTGTGCCTGGCAAGTCTTTACCATTTTTAAGTGCATAGTTCAGTGGTAAAAAATATATTTATATCTTTTTGTTCCCTTCATTCCCCCATCTCTCTAACTTCCTGGCCTCTCGTAACTACCAATCAACTCTGTATCATCATGAGATCTACTTTCTAAGCTTCCACCTGAGTGAGAACATGTGATATTTGTCCTTCAGTGCCTGGCTTATCTCACTTAACATATTGGTCTCCATAGATCACATTTTCTAAGTACAAATAGTTCTATTTTAAGAAAATCTAACATACAAATATTTAAAGGGATTGGCCATAGAGTTCCTTTAAAAGTAAATTCCTTAAACATGTAAAACAGAATTTAGTTTTAGATACGTATTTTCAGGAAACTCAGGGTACACCAAAGTAATTAGGAAGCGAATCACTTAGAGACACTTGATTTGAATGTTATACCTTCAAGTCTTCCTGGAACCAGAAGAAATTAAGCTTTACATACATTACCTTAAACAAGTAAATTATAAAAAGTGCTTAAATACTATAAAATAAAAGTTCAAGAAATGAAATACAAATCATTTTTCCACTGTAGGAACTGCTAGGTTACGAAATTTTCCCAGAAAATAGCTCATTTAATTATCTTGATATTAGCATTGTCAGAAATACAATAATTCTATTCAAAGTTTACTGAAATTGAAAATGCTGGTTTCATCAGATATGAAACTTACATTAGCCTCAAATTTATGGTACATACCATCAGGGTCTGATATTATATCTAGAAGAGATTTATCCAGAGTAGTTTTACTCATTATTTTTTCTTCATATTCAAAATATACATCCAATTTTCTGGCCTGTTTCAAAATAAATATGAGAATACATTAATAATAAAAATACATAATGTCTACTCACCTTGTAAGTTTCTATTTTCTATGATCAATTTTAAGACATGTTCATTTTTTTTCTTTGAGACAGGTCAAAAGTACAGTTTAAAAGTACTAGGCTAAAGTTCAGCAGTGCAATCTCAACTTCGCAGGCTCATGTGATCCTCCCACCTTAGCCTCATGAGTAGCTGGGACCACAGGCATGTGTCACCATGCCTGGCTAATTTTTTTTAGAGACGGGGTTTTGCCATGTTGTGCAGGCCGGTCTTAAACTCCTGAGCTCATGCAATCTGCCTGTTTCAGCCTCCCAAAGTGCTGGGATTACAGATGTGAGCTACTGTGTCTGGCGTTCATTTCTTAACAAAATTTAAAGTATCTTACTTTTGAACATATAGTTAATACAGAAAAAAAAAACAATAGATTATTTTGTTTACCATATTTGATGGATAAATTCAGCAGTAATTCTGCATACCATACAAACATTAGCAAAGATAAAAACATAATTCTTAATTATTGTATTAATTAGTAACTGGCATACAAGTCATATTGTACTCCATGCAAAATTGTCAGGTGGTCAAGTTATGTTTACTTTTTTAGCATGCAAATCCACATACATTCACCTTTACTAAATGGAAAGTTATCTTAACTATTTTCCTTGTTTTTTTTGAAAAAAACCTTTTCCTCATTAGTTTTCCTATTTAATATCTTAAAGATCATGGAAAATTAGTAAAACTTTGCTGTGTGAGACCTTTCCTAAATGAAAATTTTGTTGATTAAAATTATCCAAATAAAGTTAACATATTAAGATCCTCCAAAGTAAATAAAAATTACCAAATATCTCTTAAATTATGCTCCAGATAATAATGAATGAGCAAAGAACATTTTGTTTAAATGTTCAATTTGAACAAAATGTTCTTTGCTCTTTCATATTATTGAGGGTGTTAATAATCAAGTGGGAGTAGAAACCATTCATGAAATTATAGTGATACCAACACAGAACCAATATGTAAGTATATAACATAAATAAATACACGATGCTAAAAGGCAGAATGAAATAAATAGCCAATTGTGGAGGAGGAAGTGACACATTCTGAGATGAAGTTTGAAAGTGATTTCGGGACATATGTATAGTTCATTTCAGTTAAACAGATCATGCCAAGGCACAACAAGGTAGAAACATCTAAATAGTAGACTAAGAAGTGAATTACATATGGAGCAACAAAAAATCAGAATCCTCTCACTCCCACTCCCTTGCAGTGGCATGCAAGGCCAAAGTTTTATAGATGAAATACCCAGAAAGTTCAAAAATGAATGCGGCATAAAAAGATATATACTGAGAAGTCTTATTTCACCCTTATTTTACCTACAGAAGCAGATAGAAAAGGGATGGTCCTCTTCCACCCCTTTTCTATCTGCTTCTGTAGGTATTTGTTTTATTATTTCTTCTAGTTTTTCAGAGTTTCTTTGTGCAAACATAAGCAGAGTCTATATTCTAATACCCATTTCCCTTCTGACACAAGAAGTATGATACTGTACTTTTCTGCCCCTTTCTTTCCCTGAACAATAAATTCTACATTAACATGTAGAGGGTTCCCTATCAGTGAGCTCTTATTTATGAAATCTCTGGCCCTTCATATTCTTCAGACTCTCTGATACAGGAACTACTTTAGCTACTCTATAAAGCTATTTTAATACTACAATAGATACAAAGTAGAATCTTAGAAATGAGAAAGTCCTACCAATAATATTAAAAATGAACAAAAGAAATATAAGAGATCCTAAGAAAAAGACCACAGTAGTGGCTGTGGGAATGGAAAGGACAAGATGGGTATTGAATAATTTATATGAGAAAGGATATGGAATACAAAGTAGTGAAAGAAGAAAAAGAAAACTTTGGGGAATGACAATGATGACACTAGGAACTGTTAAAGTGAATATTAGCTTGGGAAAAGCTGTATGGGCAGAGTGAAGTCAGGAATGGAAGGGGAAAGGTGCTAACACAAGGTGTTAAACTGACTTTTAGGCCCTCTGATCCGGCTAACCTTTTCTGTTTTATTATTATTCACTAGATTCAGTTTCCTCTAGTCACACCAAATAGTTACTTCATTAAACTTTTAACATTTTATTAAATACTGTGTTCATTTTTAATTCTCTAGCCTTAGGCTCAAGTTTTCTCTTAGCTTTTGCAGAACATATTCCTCCTCTACCATCTAACCAGTGAATTCTGCTCATTCAAGTTCTAACTTCTCTGTAGTTTTTCTGCAACTTTCCTTCAATCCCTGCTGTCTCCCCTTTCTGACCCTCTCTCAGTCTCTTCCTTGGCCAAAAGAACTCATTACTCCCTTATCTGTGTATTAACTGCACTTTATATACCTCATCATAATAACAACTATCACAGTATATTACTGTCCTTGGTTTATGTGCCTTTCTAAAACTGTAAACTCCTTAGAGCATGTCTAATTGTTTAAATCTAGGTGTCTAACACAGCACCTGGCTTATAACAAGCACTTGCATTTACTGAATTTTGAAACCAAGAGCAGGACACATACAGACCAAGTAATCATTTTTAAAAGTCATGAAAGTAGATGAATGAACTTCTACAAGTGAAAAACATAAAGAATCTGGTATTTTATGACTGAATATATAAAACTCAGTATGCTAAGGTGCGGTGGCACACGCCTGTAGTCCCAGGTACTCGGGAGGCTGAGGTGACAGGATCACTTGAGGCTTGGAGTTTGAGACTAGCCTGGGAAACATAGCAAGACTCTGTCTTTAAATTAAAAAAATTAATAAAAAATAAAAATATTTACTATGCTAAATGCTATAGCAGAACTTAATTTCTGTAACTATATAAATCAGTACAAAAAAAACATGGCTCACTGATTTATGTCAATACGGGCATTTGATTCATTTTGCTCTTTTTGATGTAGTATCTTAGTTATAACATCAACTTCTAATGAACAATGGAAACAGGGTCCAAAAACAACTTAATGTGACCGGTACTAGGTAGGGGGTTTCTTTTTGAGGTGACAAAAATGCTCTAAAATTAAACTGTCGTTGTGGTTGCAACAACTCTGTAAATATTCTAAAACCTGCTGAATGATATATTTTAAATTGATGAATTGCATAGTATGTGAATTACATCTCAATAAAGCTGTTAAATAAAAGCTCTTTAATATACTGATTTTGAGGGAGCACCATCTAAGGGGAAAAGAAGTGGAGTTCTGTACAGATTTTCTAACCTGCATAACAGAACTAGTATCTCTTCAGCACCTGTCATGTAAAAGGCACTTTACTTATAACTATGGCTTTCAAATGTTTTTAAAGAGAGAGGCTCAGGACCTCTTTCTCAAACCAAATGTTCTGCAGAATCCTAAACATAAAATAGATACAAGTGATCCATTAATGTCTCTATACAGCTCTAGGACACCAGAGAATAGCTTTTAAAAACTACTAACATTCTCTCCTTTAATTCTCCAAATAACACTATGAGCTAGGAATTATTAATATCATTTTAAAGATGAAGAAACAGACATACGGAAACATATAAACCCTATGTAAATGCAAGTCATATTATGGGGAGAAGAAATTCAATTTACCTTTATATGCTCTAAAACAGCAGTGGCAACATTTGTATGGAGATCAATAAGTCTTTTTTTCTCAAGGAGTTCTGGTAAAGAACTGCAAATATCAAAATATTAAATATTAACCAATACATTTTCTAAAGTGATACAGACCTCATTATCTCCTCTGGGAAACTCAGAACAGTGAAACAGTGATAAGATGACAAGTTAAACTATCAACAGATTTAATCTCTAGACTTGAACACCTACAGTATTTATTACTTTAATACAGGGGAAATGCTTCTTGTTTTAAAATAATCTGGCTTCCAAATATCATTTCTACCATCTTACTTTATGATTCCAAACTTTGGAGGCTTAAATAAAATCAAATTAATGGAAACATCCTTTATCTGTATTTCTAAAACACATTTCCTCCCTTCTTCTTAATGGCATTCAAAGTACAGAAAAACTGCTTAACTTTTAGTTAAGAAAATAGTATCAATAATAAAATTAATAATCACTTGCCCTACTTTATCATTAATAGTATTTTCCTTGTAAAATTACCCTTATTACACAGTTTTAACTGGTCGAAGAAACGAACGATCTCCTCTGAGGGAACTAAAATCAGCTTAAACGTTTAGTTAAAAATAATTCAGTTCTTTAAATTCAGTTATATTTGCTATTGCTTACTATTTCCTACTAGTTAAAAAGATTAATAATATTTTAGTCATATAAAAATAAATAAATAAATAAATAAATAAATAAATCTTATCAACAGAAAGACTTCAAGCAGGATATACTGCTCACTTACCTAACAGCTGATGTTAGCTTAGCAGTATTGTCAGAAAGCATACTTATGGCTCCTTCATCTTCCCCTTCTAGTCCCTTGTAAAGAAAAAAGATCCTAATAAGTACTCAAAAATCCCAGGCCCAAGCACAAAAATCAACATATTCCTAAGATCACTGATATATAGTAAGATTTTTAAGTCACCTAGAATAGCAATTCTCCTCCTCTGAGGTAGGTGCAGGCATATATATTTATGACAGTTACATAAAAGTTCTAGTCATTGCCAGTCTAATGGTTAGATGACTAAATAATCAGCTGGCATTTTTGGATAAGGAGATAGGCCCAGAGATGTGCCACAGGTCACAGCAATAAATAGTAGAGCTGAAATATCAAGTTAGATCGATATGTGTTAGAATGAGCAGCATTAGAACATGTATCTCTAAAATGAAGCTACATTATATATTTTTTCAAATCACATTTATATTAATATTTAAAACATTTCTCTTCTCAATATTTAGATTTTTTTGGTCATATATGTAAGCTGAAAATATTTTTGTTATAAAAGCATTAAATGGCCTTGAATTTTTATAAGGAAAAAAACCCAAATCTCTTTAACAGATAACCCTCTTCTTTCCTATAATTCTTAGAAGGCAAACAGAATCTTACCATAATGCTTTTAAGTCGTTTGACCTCATCTTCCTGTGCTCTGTAAGATTCTAGTTCTTGCTGAACTGATTCTGCAACTTCTGGGAATGGACTAAAACAGTAGTGCACAAGAACTATGAGTATGACATTAAAAGACTGATTTTTGTGTGAATTCTAAGATATATACAATGAATATTTATTATTTTAAATATACTTATTTGGATTTGAATACATTTTATATATAACAAAGGCAGAAAACATTCAGCATAAATACAACTACATGTCTTTCTGATACCCATATAATAAATACTATTTCTTTAAAATGCATATAATACTTATACATCTAAAAGTTAAATTTCATTTATATTTTTCATTAACAATATCATACATTCTCTTCACCTGTATGCTTTCAGAAGAAAAAGTAAAATATTTACATGACTGAAAATCAATGGAAGACAAGTCATGGTATATCAAATATCAATTCAATATTCCTACCCAAATTAACACATAATGTCAAAGGGCCCATGAAACTACAAAGGTGGCATTTAAAAATATCACCTGCAGGTAACTGTGAAAAAATTCTTGTAACTCATAACCCATAATATCCCAGAATACTACTGGTAAAAATAGCACTTGGGCCACAGTTTTAGTGGTCTAATACCTGCTGTCTTCTTCCAGGACATTGCTGTTTAGCAGTAACTTACAGAAACTTTAGGCAGAAGTGAGCTGCAATCATGAACAGCTCAGGTAGAAAACACTGTACTAATCTTGACAAATTCTAGATGAATACATGTTGACCATGAAATATTTCTTAAAATGAAAATTTTCATCTACAGCCTGTAGGGCAGGGGGAGGGGAGTAGAGGCCTTTTCTTCTTTAAGAAAGAAGAGGTCATGTCTCATCAACAATGGAACAAAAACCTTTCTTCCCTTCTTCAGCTCTGACATTTGAAAATACCTCACTAATAATGACCACATTTATCCAATGGGAAAATAGAAAAGACAGAAAAGACAGGGGTTCAGAAAGGATTCTGAGGAACACAGTCCAATTTTACCTCACAACCCCAGGCATTTACTCCAGCTCCAGCTGAGTCTATGTTAGCAAAAAACAGCACTGAGGACTCAGCATTGCACTGGGGAGTCAGGAACCCTTGTTATGTCTAAATAAAATGGAAACTCCCTTTATAGGCAGAGTCTTACCCTCTCAGGGCCCTAGCTTTATCTGTAAAATGTAGGGGTTGAACTAGATAATCCTCAAAATCTCCAATATCTTTAGGTCTCAGAGTTAACAGAGAATAATAATTGCTCACATTTACTGAGCAATTTTACTGTACATCAAATACTATGCTAAGAATTTATCTTTTTTTATTTTTTAAGATGGAGTTTCACTCACTCTTGTTGCCCAGGCTGGAGTGCAATGGCACAATCTCAGTTCACTGCAACCTCATTTAATCCTGACAAATCTGTGGAGGTTAACTATCATAACTTAAACTATTCATGGTTAAGACTGAGTGCTTTACAGTCTGCCAGACCTGGATTCCATCCCTGGCTTTATCAATGAATGCTGGATGATTTGGGCAAATTAACCTTTAAATTCATTATCTCAATATTCATAAGAATCTTCTGAAACAGGGCAATAGGCAGAATTATTATTGTCCCATTTTACTGATGAGGAAACTGAAGCTCAGAGAGGTTTAAGTCACTTGTTTATGTTATCTCCAAGTGTTTCTGTGCCCATGTTACTACTGTAGTAAGATGCAGAACAAGAGAGCTATTACTACTAAATGAACAGAAGGTTAAAGTTCTTACTATTCAACTGATCTCTTAGATTGTTTTTAAAACATACGTTCTAAAAAATTAAAAATTTTCATATTTGAATAAAGAGATGTTTTCTTAAGCTTTTCTATATTAGGGAATGTCAACTTCAAAATATGCTGTATTCTCTATAAATAATGCCTCTCTAGTAAAATGTAATTTATTGTACGTCACCATTCTGGAGGGAAATGTAGACTATGGAATTCCAAAGGGAAGAATATTATTTAAAATAAAATTAATTAATATAGTACCTAAAATTGCCATAGTGAGAAAGACAGTGACTTTTTTCTACAGAGCAAGTCAAATCTTTGTTATGGCAATTTGATTTTCCAGCTTAAAAAAAAGTTGTAAGTGAAAAAAAGATAAAACATATTAAAAACCCAGCATGTTGAACCAAGTCTATATTCTACTTCTCTTTAAGCAATAAATATAAGACCAAAAGAACAGCTACATCAAAGACACACACACACATTTTGGAATATTTTTTAAAAATCATATATTCATAATTGTTTAACAGTGTTCCTCTTTTTCTCTGAGTAATTTTTTTGTTTGTTTAGAATGATTGCTGTAGACATAATGATCACCAAATAACTTTTATAGCAGTAACTGAGCCTATGAAGTACCCTAAACTTTAAGGGGGCATAGCATCACATGGGATATGTGTATCTGCTCACAGTAAATCACGTGGCAAATTAATGCAGTTTTTTCACTCATTATTTCTAATGTACTTAGAATAAATTTCTAGGCTTTAGGCTTAGGTACTCTCTCCACAGATATCTAAAACAAGGTTTACATGAGGGCAACATGGAACAAAAAGAAAAAAAAATCACCCCCCACATCACAAAAACCAATTTTAATTAAAGGCAGAGATGGTCTTATAGAGTCAGTGGAGAGAACAACAAAATTGAAAGACTATCTGTAATATCTTCAAAATTACATGGGATGCTCTCATTGAAAAGAGAAGTGATCCCTGTAAGACAACAATTAATGAAAAACAACCTAGGAATCAGCGAGAAATGGAGAAATAAAGACAAATATCTATGGACTATTTAATTATAGCTCCCACTCATTGTGTGAATGAACCTACATGACCCTTTTGAATTTTTTCCCAAATTCATTAAGGCGAATGACACCTTAATTTCTCTTTAAAAAAATGAATCTTTTACTTATTGATATTTTGCTTACCTTCCTTTATGTTTTTGCCAAAATTTATCAACTGGAGTTAAGTCATAAGACTTCTTGTTTTTTCTCTTTGGTCTAGCACCAGCTGGAGAGTTCTCCACCCCTGAAGTTTCTTCCAAATTAACCCTGTTTAAATGAAAATCCTAGAAAAAAGTAATCTTGTGTTAAATAACTGTTTTCTAAGTCTAATCAAAATAGAATCTTGTTGCCCTTTCTAATATTTCCAAGGACAAAATATAGATCTGAAATTTAAAAGACTTCCTCCTTTTATTATACAAATGTAATTTTGTTTCCATATTTTAATGAAAATATTAGATTATATATGATTAAAATTTCAAACAAGAAAAAGAAAAAAAGTTAATATTTTTATGTATCCTTACAGAAAAAATGTATGCATATAATGGCATATATATATCCTCTTAATTTTATTTTAAAAAATGAGAACACCATATATATATATGTTGTATCTTTTTTCATCTAATAATACATTTTAGTGCTCTTTCTATATCTGTATAAGTACATCAACTTAATCTTTATCATAATTACACAGTAGTCCAATGTTTGGCTAAATCAACTAATGTGACCTGGTCTCCTTAGGCTTGGTCGTTTCCAGTGACAAACATTAATCTGAAACATTTTTAAACTCTTAGAGAGTCAACATTCTGATGTGTCGCTTGAGTGATGAATTGCAATTTAAAAAATTACAATAGATGCAATAATAAATAATAAATGATGCACCTCTTTCACATAAACTTTAAGAGTCAGGCCAGTAGTTGCTAAACTTTCTTGCCTAGGACTAATTTCATTTATGTGAGGCTTGCTTTTTGTACCCTGTCTGTAAAAACAACAACAACGACAACAACAACAAAAACCCAAACCCAAACCCAAACCCAAACCCAAAACATAACCAAACCCACAAAAAAACCATTAGGCAAAAATAAAAGTAAGTATCTTTTTTATCTTTCCCCCAACTTCTTGCATTACATCTATGGGTTCCCTCACAGATAGCAGCATTTTATGGTTCAATGCCCACTCAAGAATAGTGAGAGATAAAACATGGCTATCAACAAGGAAATGACTGATAAAGAAGAAAGCTACAGTATGGAGAAATTATCCAGCATAACTGAAATATAATCATCTTGGTTCTAAGGTATCTGTATGTATTTTAACTTAACAATTATTCTAGGCCTTAGCAAATTAAACATACTGAATGCAATTCAATCGCCTCTAGATGAAACAAGGTTATCAATACTGACTCTAAGTCCTTGTAACTTTCTCAAATAAATCCTTTACAATAGTTTTATTTCCTTGCCATTTTTCTCTTTGACATAAAAAGCAGGATTTGAAAAATTACAGATGTCTAATTGTCATAGTAGAGTAACATGTCTATTTTCTTTTCTTTTTCTTTTTTTTTTTGAGACAGAGATGGAGTCTTGCTCTGTTACCAGGCTGGAGTGCAGTGGTGAGATTTCGGCTCACTGCAACCTCCACCTCCCAGGGTCAAGAGATTCTCCTGCCTCAGCCTCTTGAGTAGCTGGGACTACAGGTGCACGCCACCTGGCTAATTTTTGTATTTTTAGTAGAGATGAGGTTTCACCACGTTGGCCAGTCTGGTCTCTTGACCTCGTGATCCTCCTGCTTCGGCCTCCTAAAATGCTGGGATTACAGGCATGAGCCACTGCCCCTGGCCTAACAAGTCTATTTTCTATCTAATAAGTTATAGAAGCAATGAGGCAGCCTTCTTTTACTTGTATGTGAAGTCCATCAAAGAGAAAAATAAAAAAAGCATAGCTGTCTTTTTTCTGCAAGACACTATTCTTAGCACCTTATATTAAGTCATATGATCCCTCCAATAACCTGTAGAAGCAGTAATAAAATTCCCATTCAAGAAGAAAAAACTGAGGCATAAAGAAGTTATACAGAAATATGTGATGGAACCAAGATTAAAACCTAGGCAGTCTGACTTTAGAGGCACTGCTTTTAAGCATTGTTTTAATTATATCAAGAGCTGCAGGAACAGAGTGAGTGGAATTAGATTCTATCACTTGAAATTCCCTGTAGTGCAGAACATGGGTAGCCTCAGGTGATTAACAGGCAGTTTAAAGACTATAGAGTTACAATAAATGGTTGGAATGACAAATAAAAGTATGTTATATTTCAACCTATTACTGTCTTTACTATAGAACCCTCATATTGTCATAGGGCAAGAATATGAGTGACTAAAATCCTTTCAGTTTCCCATCCTTGTATCTAAACTTCACTTTGTACAAAAATCATCCATAGAGGAAGAAGGTAAAAATAGCACAATTGTGGAAAACCATTTTAAACAATAACAGCTACATCTGGGAAGAAGCCTAGCTTTAAAAAATTATCTAACAAAACAAAAGATATTGAAGAGAAACATCTTTAAACAGTTAAGCTTTATTAACTAGAATTTCTACTGAAGTACTATTTCCGTGGTGATGGCACAGTTCATTCAAAATAAGTTAACTTGCTAACAAAATTACTGCTCCAAAAGTAGGAGAGCATGTTATTACTGAAGTATTGATGGAATACTTAAAAGAAAACACAAAATAATAAAGGAATAAAAGATGTTAAGAATTTTGAGAAATAATTTAATAGCAAGGATATTTCCATTGTCTGCATAATAGCAAGGCAAATAAAGGTAATTTCAATCTTTGTAGTTAGAAAATTACAACATTCTGTGCTGTACTCAATCATGTTAAAGTAAGTAAACGTTTACACACAAATGAAAGACAACAGAATTACTTTTAACATGGTAGAGTCTAATCTGTTTCCATTGATAGTCACATTTTCCTAACTTAAAAGATAGGACAATGGTGCCCCAAATCGCTACATGTAAATAAATCCCATCAGGAAGTGATAAAAACATGGAGAAACCTTCAGGGGTCTTGTTTTCCTCTCCCAAGTTAGAGCACATCAGTAGAGCCAGAGAGAGTTAATGTTAACAAAATAATCTGGATCATATAAGCAATACCTATTTATGCAGACTTGAAATTCACAGGCAAAGAAAAGCAAAGTAAAATAAAAGTTTCCTTTATTTTGGCAAGAATTTACTATCTCCTTAACTCTAAATGCTGTTAGAGCAATCACTAAACAACTATTGATTCAACAGATGTTATTACTGAATTACATTTGGAGTAATTCTGGAGTCATAATACAATGCCAGAGCTTTCATATTGAGGTGACACACTGAGGTGAGTCTTCAACTCCTACTATCAAATTAACCAACAAGAGAAATAAAATACAAGAGAGAATCTATTTAAAACTAGGGAACACATATAAATACTTCTTGATAACGATGAGAATGAACAGAACTGAGGGATGTGAGGAAAAGGAAAGGAAACTACCCACTGGCTGAACCAACATCTTCCATGGCTTTGGCTTCTATCCTTACCCCACAGTAAAGAAATGTGCCATCAGTCACTTGAAGATGAGCACACCTATATTGTCTCATCCTTGCACACAAAACTAGAGAGAATTCTCATCCCCAAAAAGAAATATTTTCTCTGGAGAAAATCATCTTAGGAGTTAGACAGTTTGGGGAATAAGGGTGACACCAATAACAGAAGACATAATAAAGAAAAGTACACACAAATTCTCTAGAGCAGGCAACTATTCCTTTCTGTAAATCACAGTTACGTCTTTCATACTCAAGATTTTAATTGTAAAATAAAAGCTATGAGTTTCATCACTTTTTGCCAAAGGCAGGTAAAAGACAAAATATGATCTTTAAAATATTAAAGACAGAATTATAAGGAGTAAGGATCATTGTCTTCATAAGACAGACCAACAGACTAATACATCAGGGTTTCAATACCCATAATAGTTTCAATTAGATTCAGGGGAAATTAAAGCATTATATAAAAAATTAATTTTTCAATGCTCATCCCTAAAAGTAATTTCCATGACTGGAAATTTCAAAGATGAGGTACCTAAGCAAAATGGAATTTAAACTTATTTCTACTCTTTCAGAATGCTTCAGAACCAGTTTCTGTTCAACATTTGATAAAGTGGTGATAATGCCTCTAATGACACAATTTACAGAACTTCCTAGAGACTGTAATTCTATTTCTTATCGAGAAATCAATTATGTACAAGCATTAAACAATTTCCTACCCTCAAAGAGCATGGATAACTATGGAACTCAATGAGAAGAGATCAGAGCTTTAAGAGAATCGCAAATTACACATTAGACGTTTTTTCACATCCATCACTCCACAACAGATACATATATATTAAGATGGGCTTCTAGCTAAAATAATATAAATGTGTATTTATAATGGCACAGCTCTCCTAAGTGGCCAAAGAAACAAAATTCCCAGTCATGGTGATGATATATGGTTTTAATCCATCTAACAATTTAAATTCAAATATTCTCTTTTACGTAACAAGTCATCTGGTTTCTTTGGTTCACACAAATCAGTCTCTCAAACTCAAGCAGAGCAAAGATTAAAACATATTTGTTACGATGAAACAGGAAGACTCAGCCCTCCACTGATGCTTCTAAATTGTGTGCAAAGTCAACAGTCACTAATGTAATTTTACAATTTCACAATACCACAACTTGTTATTAAAAAAAATGGGTTATTTAATCTCAGAGAATGGGAAAACCAGAAGATGCTGTCTTTTTCACCATGGAAAATGTCTGAAAGCAAAAGTATCCCAGTAGAAATAAACAGCCCTAATATCCCAGACTGTGGTATCCACTATTTGTCATTCAAAGGAACCAGGGGCTTTTTGAGAAATGGCTGCATCTAGATCTAAGGCAGAAAATGAACATGATTAGCTTAGGATATTTTTCATACCAGAAAGCAAAGAAGCTATCAAAGATTGATGGGGTCATGTCAAGAGGCTATTAAGGCCAACATGATAGGCCCAAAATGGGATAATTCAAGCATTAAAATGAATGACTGTAATAGTGTAAAAACATCTCAAATATAAAAATCTGTTCATAAAATTATACTAAAACAAAGGACTTTACTGATTGCCTCTGCAAATTACTAGGGTACTCACTAACTCTGAAAATTGACAAATAAAGGGAGATAAGCATTTGTCCTAAGTAGATGATAAAAAAAAAAAGTTCTTTATATAAGCATATCAGCTAAAAAGATGGAGGAGG